CAGAAGACAGAAGAAATAAGATCTCCACTGCAAAGAAGAAACAAGTCCCACTTTCCGAAAGGCAGAAATGCAAAGCAAAGCAAATGCACACCCTTACTTAAACCAGAGCTAGAGTACAGGAGCGAGAAGTCACCACGAGGAGCCAGGAAGGCAGAGAAAGTGAGTGAGTTACCGTGTCTCTATTTTCCAGGGCTACTTGGGATGGAACAGAACAAACCAACCTCACTATCACTCATTATCAGAAGATGCTCAAATCCTAAAGTGTGCACTGAAAGATTCTGAAAAGCAATGAAAACAGAGTTAGCAAACCCTAAAAAAACAGGGAGCCTGCCACAGGACGCGACACTGGAATTAGAAGGAAGAAAGTCAAAGAAAAGCGGTCCTCATGTCTGCACCTACTTGTCGTGGTGTGTGTGTGTGTGTGTGTGTGTGTGTGTGTGTGTGTGTGTCTGTCTGTCTGGGATGTGTGTGTTCCATGTATAAAAGTTCATATGCTGTACCTTCCTAATCAGTGCCAGCTAAACATTAGCAGTATCTGATCTGGAGTACAAAACCCAAGTCAGAGATCTGTGAAAAATGAGCGGCACCCACCTAGATGTCTAGACAGCAAGGAAGAAGGTGGTAAGGGACCTTCACAGGGTACATGGCCATGTCTGCAATTCCAGAACTCAAACGGAAAGAGTCTCAGTTCCCTGGCAGTTTGTACTACTCACTCCCTAGGCCCTATCCACAAAGATTGACTACAATGGTAAGGGATCTGGAATTCGTGTCCTGAGCTGCACACCTGCTAAGGACAGATGTGTCCCCCAAGTTGCATGTGTGGGAAACACTGTCCCAATATTTATGCTGAAGGTATCTGGAGAAAGAGCACCAGGAGACGACGGGCACACTCACGGCTAGAGGCTTACCACACGAGCGACTCTGCCATGTACCCTCACTCCTTTACGGTCCATGTCCTGTAGAACTCACAAGGTCCTCCACATGCTGAAATGGGAGGTGGCAGTGAGAGACGCTAGCACTATGCTCTTGGACTTCCCAGTTACCACAGCATGAGTCAAATGAAGCTCTCTCTATTGTAAATTAGTTTCTGCTATTCTGTTGCAGTGACAGAAAGCAAATGAAGACAAAGATCCAGAGGATGGAGCACATTACACCAAATTCTAAAATTTAGAAGTGCATTGATTTCAATGGAGGATGGAAAAACTACTTCAGAGATAGAACTCTGAGCGAAAACCAGAGCTATGGGGTCTTAGATGAACTCCCAAAACAGGAACTTGCTGAGAGCAGAATGAATATTAGGGCGGGAGACTGGCAGTGTGCTAGTGCCAGATGGATGCGTCTGCTTTTCAATGCAAGTGTTATTTAGAAAATGAGTTTGCAACCCCAAATCCTTATCTGTAGACCTGCACATAGGCAAGGTCACTAGCCTGCTGCACACATGCCCAGTTGAAACAGAACAAGGCAAGGCCGCACCCTGTTTTGGCTCTCCTACCATAAACACGTGTCCTTTTTGCAGTCTATCTGGTGCCATGCTGATGTGGGAGGGCTTTGCTGTTTACTTTTTGAATGTGTATGATTTCATTGCTGATATTACTGTTTAAAAAATCAAAACAAAACAATAACAACACCTTAAGTGTAATAATGAAGTACTACTTAGCGTGCAGGCAGTGATGGGCCTTTAGGAAAACGTTAGATGCACATCACAGGCGTGTGGGTGTGAGCTGTGGTGCTGCTGGACTCGAGATGAGTGTAACATACCCACCATTTACTAAATGTGGCATCTTAAGCAGACACAGATAAAATAAAGATTATCAGTTGACAAAAATGGGTTCACAGGAACTTGACCAGGAGAAATTTGTATTTGTCAAATCAATGTCAAAAAGAAATGTATAGAACCCAGTGAAAACTGATGCTCACCACACCCCATCTGTGTGGCGCTGTGTGGCTCTGTGTACTGTGCATGTCAAGCAGCGCAGTAAAAGGCTTGGCTGGATAAGAAACATCAGTCTTCACAGTTGGGTACTCTAGAAGACAAACAGACTTGTACATCCCAGCTTTGCTTTTAGTGGTCAGCATTCTTCCAGAGACTTCAGCTTCAAAGGCTGAACTCACCAAGACACCCTGGCTTTATTGCAGCATGCATGACCACACACACACACACACACACACACACACACACACACACAGAGTATACAACAGGGTACACTGATACACATTCTAGGGGAAAGCAGGGGGGGGGGGATGGGAGAGGAAAGAGACAGGCAGAGGGAGGAGGCAGGAAACCTACATCAGGGAAGATCAGTCGTACACAAAGACCTCAGCCCTGGGCCTCTGGAACTGAGGGACAAGTGAGAGAGGAAGGCATGGTATTGGTAGATCCCAAGATGCGCATGCAGGAGTCTCTGGGGGGCTCCATTAGAGGGTGGCCTATGGGCAGGAGGCACAAGCACTGTGCTGAGCAGGGCTGTCATACCAACAAGATGAAAACAGCAGGTAGTGAATTCTGAAACCCTGTGCTCTGAGGGCAGAGCTCAGGGCCTCACACTAGGGAAGCGTTTTACCCAGAGCTCCGTCTCCAGCCACAGCTTTCAGTTTATGAAGCTGGCAAAGCCAGGCAGACAGCACCGCCTTTGCTACTGTTCACCGTATCACACAGCAGGACAGCCTGAGACCTGTGCACACTGAGAAAGACCAGCACGGGCAGAGACAAGCTGTCTGGAAGTGACACAGGGGCAAGAGTGCCAGTGCTCAGCCGACAAGAAGCCACACGCAGGAAACAAGGACAGATGTTACAGGACTCAGGCACAGGGAGCTCTTAAAACGAAAAGCTGACAGAGGCTGCTTAAATTTGTTCACTAAAAAGCTAGAAGATACAGTTTAAAATTCCTATGAGAAAGAGGCAAAGACCTAAAATGACTGAGGAAATTAAATGTAGCATTCCAAGAGCTAAACAAAGAGCCCCCCCCCCACACACACACACACACACATATCCCAGGACTGTGCTGCCACACTCGAAGAGCCTACCTGGGGCCAGCAACTTCCAGCAAAACTTCTAATTATGAAGTTTTATAACATGAAACATACAAGCTAGAAAAAAAAATCTTATTAGGCTTCCAAATTTCCACTATTTTTCTAGCTTCCAGTGTTCTGAAAGTTTCCCAACTTATAATTCTATATTCAGCGAAACACTAAATAAGCAAATAAAAAGCCATTTAATTCTACAGAGTTGAAAGTAAATGTGACAAGTTAGTATTATCAACTTTTCGAGTTCAGATTCCCAGAACACATGTAAAAGCTGGGCAGACGTTGTGACCACCTGCAAAGCCAGCACTGAACCAGCAGGGACGGGGATCCTGGACAAGCCAGCTAACTACAGTTAGTAAGCACGGCTCAGGAGGGACTCGGCCTCATAGACAACTGGGGGGCACAGCCAATATCAAGGCCAGGCTTCCACAGGCATGTGCACACCAACAACTGAGGGGCACAGCCAATGTCAAGGCCAGGCTTCCACAGGCATGTGCACACCAACAACTGAGGGGCACAGCCAATGTCAAGGCCAGGCTTCCACAGGCATGTGCACACCAACAACTGAGGGGCACAGCCAATGTCAAGGCCAGGCTTCCACAGGCATGTGCCCACACACACCAAATAGATAAATTAAAAAGAACTGGAGCCAGCAGACAATGCCCTGTATATCAAAGGGTAAAATGGGGCAATTCTCTCGGCGTGAGCACTTTGACCACTTCCTACCAGAGGCTTGACCCAACTAGGATAGAGAAAGATGAGCCAAGAAAGTTGTTATACTAAAAAGAGGTTCTCCAAACACTGATGGAACCATGTCAAAAGAAGACAAAAACTTCTATGATGGTCCTATTCGCTAAATCTGGACACACATAAACAAAAAACCATCAGTAGTGGCCTATGACTTACTGCATAACTAATTAATATTCCACAGTGACAAGCCATTCTGTGCTGTCAGCTACAACTCAAGCAAAGTTTCCAAGTGGATGCTCAAATGAGGGGTCCAGTTTGACAGAGACCAGTCAGTGCTCTCGGAGCCTCTGACTACCTCCCAAAACTACTTACTATCATCAGGGAACACAGCTCGGCAGTGGAGCTACTGGGCAGCACCGTGACTAAGCGCCCACAATGGAACAACACGACAGGGTGGTGACCTGCGTGCTGAGACACACTACCCTCACTATGGTGTGCTCCTGCCCCATGCTGTGGACAACTGGGTACTAATCTAGGTGCTGAGACACACTACCTTCACTATGGTGTGCTCCTGCCCCATGCTGTGGACAACCGGGCACAGACCTGCGTGCTGAGACACACTATCTTCACTATGGTGTGCTCCTGCCCCAATGCAGTCTTGTTCTGATCATGAGGAAACTATGATCCCAAGTTGTGGGGCATTCACGGCACCACAGACCTTAAATACAGGGCTGGGGACAAGGATCTGTCCCAGATCAAGGGAAACAAGAGGCACAAAGCTAAAGGCAGCATCCAACCTCTAAATGACTTCTCGTTAAGGTTGCTAACCAGCAACATCTGAGGTCTCTGGACTAAACACTGTTACTTCCTAGACTGTTACTTCCTGGACTGCTGCCCTTGCCTTAAGAATGCGCCCAAGAACTCTAAAGGGAGTAATGTGGGCAAACGTCTCTCTCGGGAAGATGAAAACGCATCTGCAAAGCAAACATGGCAGTGCGAACTCTGGTCACCCGGGGTTAAGACAATTCCTACATGCCCTTGTCTTAGGGCAACTTCCCTGTAACCTAAAGTGATTTTGAAACCATTAGGAAAAACCCACGAACATTCTTATTTATTCCGTGTTTTACATATAAGTACCCATAGGTCGGTGTTGACACACAACAGCTAAAGTGGTACCAATACTAGCATGTAGGCATTCGGAAAGCACACAAGAACCAAGTCGGCAGGGCCTCGGGTGGAGTGAGACACTGAATCTGGGGACAAACATTCACACTGAAAGAGTCACAGAAGAGTAAAGTTTTCATTTTATTCAAAGTTTGTACAGAAGTGCTAACATCTCCATAAAATAATTACTACACTTCAGCTACCGGACAAAATACCACAGAAAGGAACGGACTTTGCAAGGAATGTATTCATCTTAAGTTTTCAAATACTTCTGAAGGCTAATGCAGCAGCTGGCAAAAGAACACGAGTACACAAAGAACAGAGCTTGCAGTCAGCAACGAAGACTGACGGCTCTTTAGAAGATTGGCGCTTTTTTTGCCATTTAAACAACAGTAACACAACACAGTAAACCAAGATCATACAAGTCTACAATTGTAAAAATCAGTTGTACACAGTATAGGCAAGTTAGAACTGTCACAAGTAGCTAACAGCTTTAAATTTACAGTTTAACGGTTTTCTTTTCAAGATGGAAGAAAATTCTGATTTCTCTGAAACTAAAGCCTTACACAATGAAACGGACCTTATTAGTCAAACTTGAAAACAAAAGAGGCTGAGGACAAGAGAGAGTAAACTGGAAATAATTAAAAGCTAACCAATAACAAATTAATGTTCACAAATCCCATTATAGCCATATTTGGTCTACAATACCAGATGAAATGATCCACGCACATAATACACGGCCCAGTGTACTGACAGGTCTCTGAGCCCGGAGTGTGGACAAAGCTTCCAGACAGTACACGGGAAAACATTTCTCAAAGCAGACATCTTTTAAAATGCATTAATACTTACATATCAAAATTCTTTAGATAAAAGCAGCAGTGTTCTGCTGGCATTTGGCTTAGAAATAAAGGAATGAATGAAGCAATTTCATAGGATATTATTAGAAAAAGAATTGCTCTTCTGGAAGAAGACTACTAACTTTTGCACAGCAACTATTTTTGATACCCATTTTGTCAAAAAAGAAAAGCGAAGCAGAAAAGCCGACCAGTTCATATGGTGATTACCAACAGGTCCAGACAAAGAGCGGCGTCCACACAGGGACAGACAAGCCCCTGCTGGGTCTCAACTTGGCAGGTGCTCTCACAGGCTGAAGCAAGAACGGCAAGGGTAGCAGAGGAACGGCTCCACACCGTCCTCAGACACTAATGCAGTATGCCACTATTTAAAATAATAATAACAATAATAAAGCTTTTACATCTTAATAACCCCACAGAGCAGTCCATGAGCAAAAGACTTGGTGATCTGTTTGCCACTCAACAGTCTGAGTTCTCACAGTGAAATCAGGAAATTATACATATTTACACCATGACTACTTTTCTTTCCATGAAATTATAAATGAAAATCATTTGTGTCAAAGAAATTTTAAAAAGCATTTCAAAAAGTTGTATTAAACTCTCTTAAAAGTACAGAATACAGAGGTCAAAAGTTAACTGCTCTACGTAGTCACATATTGCTAGTCAAGGACACTCCTCACAGCCTCTCCCTCAGCCCCACCCCCACCAGCCCCCTCCCTGCACCTCCAGGTTACCTGCTGTGAAATGCCGCTGTAGGTGCACACGGGAGAAAGCCCCCCATCCCAGTTCATGGAACTCTCCTAAGCCGTACCACATTAGCCTATGTCATCTACAGTCTTTGTTATACGGTTTCCCAAACAGAGGGGGCGCTCTCTTTCCTCTGAGAGCTCTATCTGAAGATGTAGCCATAATTTGGACAGCTCATTTTCATTCTTGGTAACCATGGGACTATCTGGAGGTAAAGCAAACCAGGGGAAAGGGCAATGCTGAGTGGGAGGAAATACATCTTTATTTCTGCATGCACACCCACAGCTTTCCACTCATCTAGTCTTGGGGAGCTAACAGAACACATTAGAAAATTCTCAGTACTATTAGGAAAAGCAATGTCATATAGAGTCTGTCCAGAAATAGTTTGATGTTCAGAACACAGAGATCCAACTCCCTACTAAAAAGTACAGCTAAGCACATAAAGAACACAAAGCTAACGCCACCTCATGCAAACCTATGCAAGATCAATATAGTATCTGCACTACTGAGTGTGAATTTAGTAACACTTCTTCTAGACAACATTTTAGCATTCCAATGACTACGACTTACAAAGCTGTCACCTGCCTGCCCCCCAGAAATCCCACTGTCCCAGTTGAGTTTCAGACTGTGGGTCTGTGTCCACAGACCTCATTTCCCTAAAACCCCCAGATATAAGCAGCTGAGAACTCTCCCCATCAGAGCAGCACAAGCAGGGAGAACACAAGACTCATTTCTCAGGACCAGCTGGACAGCAGTCTCCCTGCCCAGCCTTTCAGTACTGTGGTCGTCCTGACAACCCTGGGGCGCAGCTTGGTGGGCTTATGACTTGCACTTGTGGGTTAGTGAGAATGCTATTAGGTTTGTGCTTTTTACAAGTGGAGACACACACGTGAACAGTGTTGTGCTTTCTATGGACTTTTAGCCTCTCCTTACACACGGAAATATGAGTGCTCAGATGTCCTTAACAACTATACATGGACATTCTAAAAATATACTCAGAATCAGAATGTAACTTTAAAGTTTTAATTATAGATGTAAAAGCAAATTAAGATGAATAAATAATATTAAGCTACAATATATATACTTAAAACTGCCTTGATTCTGTGAACCAAAAACTACATATAAAAGCGTGTAAATGTGTACTTTCTACTAGCAGCTTTCCTCACTAGTTACAATAAAAGCTAAAAGCATAGGAAGCTTATGGCTAAGAAAGGGACAGGAGCAACTAGCAGATCAACACTGGCAAGCAGAAAGTTACCTACAACCTAAACACAAACCTCAAAATTTGATTATACTGTGGAAAACCTTGTACACTAACAACTGCCATTCCAAGATTTCAGTATGCCCCATCTGTTTCCAATTACACACACAGACATGCACATACGAGAAACTAATGACATTCTGCTTTCACACTAATAAACTGAACATTAAATTTGTGTGTGTATTATTTACATATAAATTTATAAAGCCAGCAGCCCTAGGAAAATAGGGCAAATACATCTAATTATGCTGTGGGTATATACTGTCAACTTGTGCTGTCCAGAAAATCCCTAGCAGAGTCTTTAGACATACGCTACCTGGGGGCGAGGGGTGAGGAGGAAGGGCAGGAGGGCCGCATGCCAGACAGAACTCCTCAGCCTTCCCGGGCACACTTAGAGGAATCAGGCCATCCACAGAGCCTGCAGATACATGCTCCTCCAAAGAGTACAGTGCATGAGATGAGTAATGACACACACTACGTCTTTTCCTTCGTTTCTCAGCAAAGGCTACAGGGCAACAGCCATTGGTTGCTAGGGCAATGGGTGGCTCACACGCAAACTGAACCTTGCCTGTTAGAAAGGAGTGTAGACAGAAGCATAAATGGCATCGATTTCACAACATTGTTAAAAGATCAGTCAGTAGTGAGAACTTTAAATGAAAACACATGACTAAGTGTGGGGCTTGGCACTAACAATTCTCTTACACAGAACCTCAGCTCACGAGCGGAGCAGCTACGGTGCTCAAGACAGTGTGACAGGTGATCTTCACGAGAAGGGTTTTGGTCCCGAGTCGTCATTTCTGCACCAGCCTCGACATAACAGCCCAAGTGTTTCTCTCTGTACCAGCTAATTTCCAGCTTTACCACCTCAATGGCAAAACCCAGCCTTTCTGCATCACATGATCCCATCATCTCCAAGGGGCTCCTGTGAGAACTCACTACTGCTTCCTGACTTTAAAAATACTGAAACGCTGGCGCTTTCATCACATCTTAGAAACTGTGCACCAACAGGCCGTGCAGACACACGGTTCAACAGGAATGAGCGGTCTCGTGCACACCTAGGGAAGGGTGACACCTATGTGGTCTCCTTCCAATCGTACCTCCCATGAAGGTGTGATATGAGGGGATGAGGCAATCTTAGTACTGTAGTACCAGTTAGACGAGAAGATGCAAGACCTAATCTCTCAATGGGTTAACGACAAGGCTGATTTCTATGGTGGAGACTCATCCATAGATTACACTAAATGACATTCAAAGAGATGAGAAGATCATGCACTTGCGACAGGGAAAGAGTACCAGTGAAGAAATTTAAGGATTCAGAACCAGCCCCAGACAAGGCTTTTAACCCCATGCTCAGAGAACCAATTAACTCAGAGATCCATTCTTAACTGGGAGTTTCACAAAGTGAAGGGTATCTGCTAATCTCTTATGGTGACATCTCTTAAGAGGTAAGGACACACAGCCCTGGTCAGCCTCCCTCTGTGTGCAAGATAATGATGGATCCTTGGAGCCAGCGGAAAGGAAGCCCTGGAAATGAGACCCACTGGATCTGAGCCAAGGACACAAGTTATTACTTGATGCTCCTCTAAAAACAAAAGCAATCACTTCCTAGAAAGAACAGCTGGAGGAGAGATCGGCAGGACAGTCTTCAGAAATGAAAGAGACCTGAAGTCCCACAGCAGAGTCAACAATCCCTCTTCAGGCCACTGTCAGAAGCCCTCTCCCATAGACCCAGACACAAACTGCCTGGGAAGACAAAACATGGAGAAGTTGAGCCCACACACCAAGGATAACTATTTCTCACCTGTGTTTGTGGACCAACAGCCCCACCTACGTTTTTACTTTTAGCCACATTTTAGTTAGTGTGAATCTTGGTCAATTCAGAACCTCAGCTTGCACAAGCACAGAAATGCATGTGTAAATGTCTGAACAGATCCACGCTATCTTTTAGGACTCATATATCCATGGGAAGGATGGATACTTTGCTAGCCTGAAATAACCATCTATCATTCCAAGGTCATTCCAACAACCTATAGACTAAAGCCTGGTCTCCTGGAATGAAGCTGCCTTCCCCAGTTCACACCCTCTTCAACCACGGCATCCACGTGGGAGGCAGTAAGGAAGACAAGCGGTAGGGACTTCAGAGTCAGTACAGAGATGCTCACACTGGTAAGAATGAACAACACCTCATGGATATGTTAAGGTATTTCTTATTTATAGATATAGAACTCTAAACCTGACCTACTGCTATTTACACAGACATGTGATGTATTGTATGTATCTTACTATAAGACAACAAAAAGAGGTAAGAAGATCTAACATTCCAAATTATTAGGACTCAACACTAAATAAAGGGGAGAAATTCACATAAACACCTATTCTCTTACGCTGTAAATATGAGGATTGGGAAGGCCACTCAGCCAACATGTCAATTCTTGCTAAGTGCAGAGGGATGTGTTCAAAGGAAATACTAACTCCTACAACTTGATACAAATTCAGGCAACCCAAGATCCTATGAATGTTTTTCATAGCCTAAAAGGTTATCTCAAATGGAAAATTCTTTAAGAGAAGACTGTCACAAACCACGAACAAACCATTCATTCAAATACATGTGGGCAAACTCTGAATCCAGATCTGGAGAACTGCTTTCTCATCTTTCCACGAGGTCCCATGACCTTGGACGCGTCACAGCCTCAACCTCCACTCAAGACAAGGAAGCCCTATCTACTTGGTCCCTAGTTATAAACCTCAAAATAGAAATTGAGAGAAAAATTGTACAAGGCACTCTAAGTTCTTCCAAAATACATGCTATTCGTACATGAATCACCTTTTCCACCTGCAGGCTCAGTCCATCAGAAACCCTCCTGAAGACAGGAAGACTACATAGACCCAATGAGCCCCAAAGTCAGTGTTGGGCTCAAGTCCATCATCTGCAAACAAATTGATGCATTACAAAAAAAAAAAAAAAAAAAAAAAAAACAACAAGTTATCAGGATTGAGCTTTGATTCAAAATCTACAAAATTATCTATAAAAGTAATAATTGTCCTTGAGTACAAGGCTTAATAAATTTGTTATATAATTTAAAAAGTTATTAGCTTAAAGAAAGTAGGTATATAGTTAGTGTTCTCCATCTCTCATGGAGAACAGGCAGTGTTGAAGACAGGACTACAGACATCCTTAAGAGTTCTTCTCTAACTCCTTCTGGGCCATTCTCACTAGGTAGAAACAGCCTATAAGAAAGATCCGCTGCCCATGGATGCTGTGATTGGATAAAGGTAAAGGTCTGTACAGAATCCTGTGATGTCCTCCACAAGAGCGCATGACCACGCTGGGCATCCACAGAAACCTTATGCTGATCAACAGCAAGGGTCAGGAGAGTTCTGTGGCGGGTGGCCAGTTTGTAACTACGCATGTGTGTGCTGACACTCACAACACGTCTTCAGGAAAGGCAAAAACCAGGAAAAGAGCGTATAGAGAATGCAGTATGAGTCAGGATTTGATTTTTCCTCTAAACACAACATCAGTGTATCACAGCTAGTCAAGGGCCACAACTCAGCACACAAAAGCTGTGCCCACTTCTGTGGCAACACTGAATGTTTCTCACAACTGGACCATGGGGAAGGCATCTGGCTGATTAACAAGGAATACTACAAAATAACAAGGAAGCAGCTAGGACAGAGGCAGAAGATGATTCAGCATCCTCTTAGCATTACGTTTATCAAGCACTGCATGGTAGTTAATTCTCAAACTATATTTTAAAACACCTTATCTCATCAATAAATGTGGGGATCATCAGCAATACTTACTTCCCCCCTGATTAAAAATATATATACAGACTTGGTAGTCATTCCGTATGGTTCAGTTTAAGAAAGAAAAACAGAGGGAGGGAACTGAAACAAAGTCTGCCCAAGCCACTAACATTCCACACACAAGGGGTACAAAAATACCTCCAGGAAAACATTCGTCCTTTCTTTTGGCAAGCAGAATCCATGGACTCATGCTAACAAAGCCAGCCAGGCAAACAAAGTTGTCCTGAAGTGATTACTATACAACACATTAGACTTTCAGGACATAACTAATCATACATCTCTATGAATTTGATTTTTCAATCATAGCAGGGATTGAGACAAAAGCTTTACAAATGAGCAGATAGATCTACTTCAGCACAAGGTCTATGAGACTTGGCAATGCAGACAAGACACTTTATCATGGTACTTTAACACAGTTCTGCTCTAAGTGACCTGTGAGAAGAATTGGTCTTTCCTCACTTTGGTATGGAAAACTCTAAACCACATTTTCTTTTTTTGCACAATTCATTCTGTTTTGTTTCATTTAAGTTGAAGATTTATTTCATCCATCTCTAGGAAAATAGTCCTGCAAATAGATGATTTTCTGCTAAGTAAAATTTGGCTAAAACCTTCAGCGTAAACAATGCCTGAGAGATGCAACAGTTACATTTCTGCAGTATTTTCTGAAGTGCCTCACCATGTTCTTAAGTTCATAAGGAGAAATAAACAAACATGAAAATTCCAAGCGAACACACAGCAAAAAGTCCAATATTTAACACGACTTTTACTTGCGGAGACTCTTCTAACATCTGTGAGCAAACGGCCTCCTCATCCATCAGGTCTCTGAGACTTCTCTTGCTAAGGCTTTTACTCTTAAAGCCACAAAACCAGTCTATGAACTTCCAATACCGGCTTCGGCTTTCTGTTTCCTTCTCTCTCTCTTTCTCACCCATGAGAGCTGCTTGCCCATTGGAATAAGCATCTACTGGTGTTTCTGCCTCTGAATGACCCATGGAAGCTACTGGATTGCCCTCTTCTCTGCACGTCACCAACAGATTAACATCTTCAGGCTGAAGTTCCTTAATGCTGTCTTCAGACTTCCCGTTGGGAATGACGTGGTTGATAGCCTCACTATTGTCATTGCTCCGTAGAAAGCTCTTCTCTTGCATTTTGTATGGCTCATCTTTCTGACAGCAGCTCTCCTTTGTTACCAGGGTCTTCTTTGACCAAAAGGTGGTGGTACGAATCTGGTCCTTGGTGGGAGGCGGTGTGAGAAGACTCACAATTACAGTTATGAGTCCTGTGATCCAAAACAATGCTGTAGCCACATACATATAATGGATGTCTTTGATGAAGCCTGGCCTGTTATCAGGTTGGTCACATTCAGGAGCACGGTAGGTAAAAGCCAGTATCAAACGGACAGCTCCAAGAACAAAGCCTGCCATTCCACCATAGAAAGCCCCTTGCTCGTTGCAACGTTTCCAGAAAATTGCCAGAAGGAAGAGGGCTGCCACTGGAGGGGTCAGATAATCTGCCACCTCCTGGATATAAAGGTACATCTGGCCTCCTTGCATCTCCACAATGATTGGCACCCATGCTATGCTGATGACAACCATAAAAGCCACAAATATCCTGCCCACTATCATTAGTTCCCGGGAGCTTGCGCTCTTGCGGATAAGCTTGTACACATCGAGGGTGAATATGGTACTGGCACTGTTAAAGATGGAGTCCAAGTCGCTCATCAGAGCCGCAATCATCACTGCCATCATCAAGCCCCGAAGGCCCACAGGAACCAACTTCATCACCAGGCGTGGGTAGGCAATATTGGAGCACCCAGCTCTGCTTCCACACACTTGCATGCAGTGCTCTGGGTTGATGCAAGCTATGTCATCAACAAACAGTATCCTAGAAATCATTCCTGGGACAACTATGATAAACATTGGTAGAAGCTTCAAGAAGCCAGCCATTAGAGTAGAGCCTTTGGCATGAGCAATGTTTTTGGCTGCTAGAACCCTCTGCACAATGACTTGGTCAGCACACCAGTACCATACCGAGGCTGGAGTCTGCCCAAGAATGAATCCAGGCCATGGAACATCTTCATCTGTTGGATCTCGCAGCATTTTTAGGGCATCCTCCTTAGGGTGGACGTTACATGAATTTGTGTTAGAAAGGTTGTGTGTCAACAAAATGGAAGCAACATTGGGTGAGGCCAACATGTACCTTCTCTTAACTTCCTCAAACCCTCCGATCTTCATCATGCTAATAACCATAAGTGTGAGCGCCCCGATTATCATGAGCAGAGCCTGGAGGGTGTCTGTGTAGATCACTGCAACAAGGCCTCCGGTGACAGTCAGCAGAGCGGTCATGCCAATGAGCAGGATGACAGACACATAAAGGTTCCAACCCAAGGACTCCTGGATAAAGAGGGCACCTGAATACAGATCCACTGAGAGCTTGGTGAAGATATACAGAAGGAGAGACAAGGCTGCAAAATAGACCTGAATCCTATGGCCACCGAATCTCTTGGACAAGTATTCAGGCATAGTGTATACCCCTGACCGGATGTAAATAGGGATGAAAACCCATCCCAGAAGTTGCAAGAGCAGTAAGGCATTGAATTCCCATGCGCCTACTGCAAATCCACTCGCTGCTCCAGATCCTGCCAGCCCAATGAAGTGCTCACTCCCAATATTGCTCACAAACAGAGAGGCACCAATTGCCACCCAGGTCATAGAGCGCCCGGCCAGGAAGTATCCACTCACAGTGCTTCTATTAGATTTCCACATGGCAAAAAAACCAATGCACATGACCAGGACAAAATACAGGGCCACTATGGCAATGTCTGCCGTCTCCAGCACAGCCCTCATTCTGGTAACTTGTGAATAAAATGTCCGAATGAAAGAAGTGTCCAACTTCTTATTTACTTATTAGTAACCCAGCCAAGTCTGTAAAGCACACGTGAACGGGACTACACAGAGCAACACAGCAGTTCAAAGTCTTTGTCCTTTGTTTGCTGTCTTGATGGTGGTGGTTGTAGTAAGCTTGGAAGGAGACAGTTTTAAATTTCCTCCGCTTCTCAATTGGGATTGAGAATTTAGCTCGCACTCTTAGTCCACAAGACCATCAGCATTTACTCAGGTGCTGGAGGAGAAACTCTGAGCTGCAGCTAAGTCTAGTGGAGCCTACTGTACCAACCCTGCAAGGCAGCAAAGACAAAAGACAAAGAGTGAATTAGAGGAGGGGCGCATCAAGCGGTGAGGAAACTTTCAATTGAGCAAACATGGCGCAACATTTGTTATAAAAAAACACTTTTACAATACACTTTAATAACTGCAGCAAAGCGCAAACTATTGTCACAGAGGATAGTGATAGCAGCCGTCATTCTGAGCTAAAAACAAAAGGATCATCAGTTGCCTCAGGTCTCAAGGAGCAACTGCCCACCATGTCACAAAACTGTTGCTTGTCTTGCTATAGACACCTTGTCTTGCAGTTGCACCTCAAAACAAGAATCAAGAAGTTAAAGTGCCCTGAGGGAGAAAGCGAACACTAGATTCCCAGAACAGATCTTCAAATTCTTGCAGTGATGGGGAGAGGAGCTAGCATTATGGCCAGCTAAGTCCTAGATGCAATAGCAGGTACCTGAGACGGTAAAAGTCCCGCTGTAAGTGTAGTCACAGGGAACTTAGGATAATACACAGCTGATGAGAAAAAGGAACCCTACACAAACAGCACACAGCTTCCCGCACTCCAGCTGCCCTTGCGCGCACTCTGCTAGGGAGAAAAGAACCCTTCAGCAGGAACAACTTCCTTCTGCAGGCAATAATCCCCCCCCCCTCCACCCGCCACAAAAAAAAACCTAAGAAGACAAAAGCATTCCACTCAAGGTTTGATTTTACAGAATATTTTCAGTACTGTAATATATCTAATTCTTTTTTCCTGTATGAAAAGCAAAGGGAGATTTTTCTGGAAGGATGAATAATTTGATTTCTCTGTCTTCCAAACCCGAACAAAACAGTTAACCATTAAATCATCTTCAATAAATCCATCTGACATTTTTCAGCTCTGAATTAAGATTATTCTGTAAAACACACATTTAAAAATGACTAAAATCAAATGGATAAATCTGATTCTCCTCTTACTAAAGAAATCCTCAGTCTTCAGTTAATTATAAAAGAAGCTGACAGATCAATAACATTGTTATTATTCAAAATAATACTGCCACATATTAGTGTCTAAGTGCTTCTGCTTATCAGTGAGGAAACTTCAAAATAAGTGATTTTCCATGCTTCAAAAAACTGTTTTTTTCTGATAAATCTAGGCATTTTCTTTAAACAAACAAACAAACAAAAAAAAACAGTAAACTTAGAAGTCATGGAGCCATAAATAAAAATAAGGCCAGTTTTCTCAAAACTGCTTGAACTAAAGCTGCAGTGTTAAAAACTTGGTGACTCTCAGAAGGAAAGTCAGCGAGTCATTCCCTAAACAGATCCCACTACACTCCAGCAGGCTGAACCCATACTGTTCCCTAGAGAATGCCGGTCCTATCATTTCCAGCTCTCTTCTAAGTCAAAACACACAATAATTACACCTAACATAAAAAATGAAAATAAAACCACATTAAAAATCCTACCTACCTCCTGAAAATCATGTCAGTAACAAGATACTGCCAAAAGCAAATCAAAACAACAAAAAACTCAAGTACAAATTTACATCATTACTTCATACCCGCCAAATCCTGAAGTTGACCATATTTTATGACTGCTTTCCTAATCCTCCAAGTCTTTCAAGTTTAACACCCCCCCCCCAAAAAAAAAAACCTCCAAAATTTGAGTAAGCTCTATAAATGTTTCAGTCAGTGGCAGTGGGAAGAGGCTGGTCATGAGGTCCCGCCTTCAGTGGAGACTCTCCTCCGGCCCAAGCAAGACCAAGTGTACTGCTATCACTCTGACACTCGTCCACCTACAAGGAGGAAGAGCCTTGCTGGTTCAGGATCTTCAGATAAAGTCTTCTTGGTGGAAGCTTAGCATGTTTTCATCAGAGCCTTTGTCTATAGGGAGGAGGGTTCAGCTTCTGACCCCTGCTGAGGTAGCAGCTTCTGTGCTTAAGAGTCAAAGCAGACATGTCCTGTCCACCACTAGGACCAGGGTGGTGTTAAATGTGACTCAAAGCATCAACTAAGCCGTCTTCTGCTTCCAGAGGGGGCTCACCTGGCTCAAAGTCCCATACAGAGCCTGAGTTCTCATTCCTTAGACATGCCTTCATAGCAAATAGCAGACTGGCCAAATTTGAGCTCAGAGCTGTCCAGGGCTGGGCACGATGACACACACCTGTAATCCCAGCACTCAGGACACTGAAGCAAAGGACCGCTTCAGTCCCAGGTCAGCCTCGTCTACCGTGAGACTGTCTCAAGAACCAGAGAGTGTGTTTAACTGTCTTCCCTCTTCATGTCCTTCCAGAGCCACTGCTCAGGGGCCTCACCAGGCCCTGCACTGGCCTGCAGGATGTTTTTAGTTTTTCAACTTAAAATGCATACAGGGATTGATGCTTCCTACAGAACAGAAGGAAAATAATCAAAACAGGTCCATTCAGACTGCAGAAAGGTATGAATGTCACAGTAGAATGAGAGTGAGCTCCACATGTCTGTCACAGTTATCAGAGCCTGGATTCCAGCCTTCCTGCAGGAGACGGAGTTCACGCTTCTTTAAGGGGAGAGGGAATCCCAACAGAATACACGTGAGTTTTGTATATTTCCATGTTTAAAGAGTGAACATTTCTTCACCAGTAGCACCATGAACAACAACAGGCCCAGAGTTCCTTTATTTTAGAACGAATACACATGGAAACACCTCCAGCAAACACGCAACTTCTTAGACTGTGTTCTGTATCCTTAAGTTTTCTTTCACAATTAACATGTTTCCTTGACATGACATTTTTTGAAAAAGAAAAACAATGATTCCCACAACAAGAGTATTTAGAGCAAAGAAATGGTCCCCAGGAAAGAGGAACTAACTCAGGCTAACATCAAACACAGAGGGTTCTGAAATAGGACTTTCCCCACTAAAATCACTGGTAATGTATGACCTTGTTTCACACGAAATCAGAATGCAGATGTAATGGTCATGCATTTAAATGCATTAAAGCAGAAAGAGAAGGGAAATGCACATGGCGCCACATCTGGCCAACTAGAGAGAAGACATGAGCCCCAACTGAGATCAACTCGTAAGTCTTCCACTGACGAACATAGAACTAGTCAGACAACCAAATCTCATTTCTACAGTCTAGGGGGAGCATTTTATTTATCTGCCAAACCAGGAAGTGATTCTGCACCAATCTATAATCCAGGAGCAGATCTCTAAAAAGAAGAGTCACCTGACACAGAATCCCAACAGGGAACAAGGAAGAGTCGTGGAGCTCAGTGGGGACTCCTGTCACAACTCCAAGTTAGATGTGAGCTAAGAAAGCACAGACCCGCAGTTCTCAACCTGTCAGTGGTGATCTTTGGAGGGGGTGAATGACCCTTTCACGGGGGTCATATATGAGATATCCTGCATGCCAGATATTTACATTACAATTCATAATAGTAGCAAAATTACAGTTATGAAGCAGCAACAAAAATAATTTTATGGCTGGGGGTCAGCACAACATGAGGAACTGTATCAAAGGGCTGCAGCATTAGGACGGTTGAGAACCACTGACATAGATTATGTTGACCCTAAAAGTAACCAACTGCACTGTTCTTACCTTGGGCTAAATTCACAAACACTGAACAGGACCTCAGCACTGTGCCTGGGAGGCCTGGCTAGTTAAATCCGTACAATGACAGAAGTGAGAAGTACCATTACCACCTAGGGTCATACAAGAACTCTGAAGGTCTCCTGCATCACAGAACTGTCACACCCAAAGCTTCCTTTGTCTCCATCACAAAGCAACAAACAAGTTAAGCCCAGATGGCATGCATCAGGACAGGGTGTGTGGGTGTAGGTGAGCAGGACAGAGATGCAGGTACTGCACACAGCACAGCAGGAAACAGTGGCTCTCTGAAGAGCAGGCTGGAAAATCCCATATTCTGATTGCAACAGTATGTCCCTGTGAATATGCAGCCACGGCTTCGCTCCTAGGGGCATAACAAAGATGGAGAACGTTCCCAACACTGCACACTACCACAGGCTGGTGGCTTGGCTCAATTTATTCTCTCCAACCTGAATGGACAGGGAATGATGACACCGGCCTTTTCAAATTTAACTGTCAACTGTGTGCAAGGAAGGTTAGGATCTTCACAAATGTTATTCACACATAAAATGAAAGGACAAAATTAAACAATGTATTGAACATGTAAAATTCACTCGCAAATGTCTTAAAGTGGTTCCCAGCCATCCACCAACTGTCAGTTCCACGCATGCATTACATCACTTACTGGAGGAAAACAGAAGCCCTTCCCTCGACTTCAAGTAAGTGTGTGTAGAACAGCAGGCCAGCCTGCCAGAGCAAGGAAACCCTCTGTTAGATGCGGACTCAGTCAGGTCCTGAACACTGAACACCCGTGTCTCGAGGCACCAGCAGCTCCAGCACCAATCCACAGCTCCTTCACACTGCTACCTCCATTTCGGAACAGCTTCCACACTGCACTGCTGCTTGTGCTGCTTTGTGTTTGTTCTCTGATGATTGCTCCCACACATTCCCTAAGCTCACGCTATACAAATACAAGCCCAAGCTTCCTGCGGAAGGCAACGTATTACAAAGAACTTTTATTTCCTCCACTCTTCACTATGACAATCACTAGTGTGAGACACTTATCCCTGAGCTAGCTGAATTACACCCCAGATAAAAACGGTTTCTGCATCAGCACTGACCACACAGCACCATTACAGTTCATGGAGAAGCCCCTCCACAATCACAGACTCAATCACCCCAGTTTACCGGTAAGAAGACTTAAGAGCTGGGGTGCAGCTCAGGGTGCAGCACTTGCCTGGCATGTGCAGGGCTCTGGGGGTTGAGTCCCAGTGATACTAAAACGAACAAAAACTGAGGAGGGGTCTCTAGGATCACTGAAGGACAGGAACACTGTCTCTGGAGTAGATGTTGCACTCTTTGGGAAGATACACACAGAGATAGAGCAGAAATATACACACATCAGGAAAAAACAAGAAAAAAGGAAATGATAACCACAGCCACCTGCACAATAATGCACCTGTGGCA